TCACGCTATCGATGTGCATAGTCAGCAAGAGATCAGAAATTGTAGACTCAGCTAGAAATACAATTTTGATTTGGATAGGCAAACACCATTCTACCATTCTATGCGACAAAGCATATTTTATTCTCGCAAACTCAAAGGACCCTTGGTTTATTCCACTTCACCTTTTCTCACAATGAATATTTTACATCTTTTTAAAAGTACGTTTTTTGAAAAATATAATTTAAAAATTAATAGCTCAATTAAATATAAAATATATTAAAGTTTCATATATAAAAATAAATTCTGTTAAAATAAATTTTCAAAAATTATTAGTGATTGATTTTATGTAATCTGAAATTGAAAAGAAAACACACGCATCTTGCGGCATTTATATAAAATTTCTATTGCAATAATTATGAACAGAAAACACAATACAGATGATTTCCGGAATTATGAATTATTCTTGGTATTCACTCATGAAATACCGTTTCAGACAATATATTTACCGGAAGATTCTCCGCTTAGGTCTAAGCTGACATGCGATCCCCCTTGAGCGTAATAATTTTCGATTACGATCATGAATTTTGCAAAAGCAAGGCGATAACGTCTATGAACAACTGTGTGTATAGCTTTCCCGCTACAGCTCAGTAATTTTAGCCACGTGAGGTCGAAACTTACTCGACAGATGATCGTACGCGGTCTTCCTGAAACTCTTCCTATTCATTTGAAGTTTTGCTGTCTGACTCGTGTTTTCTTTTCTCGCGTTTCATGTGATGATAGCAACACCTTGCGTTTCTCATATATGCTTGCGTGCGTCAACAAATATAGGAATTACTCGACCTGTAGTCTTGAAATATACATAAGTCAGAGATGTATATACTTTTCGTTAAATCTGCATTACAGTTCTTTCGACGATTATTATACGAATATTCAGACTGATGATAACATACATACGGCAAATAATGATTTAATTTCTTGAGGTTTAAGAATCAAGAAATTTAAATAAAATATTTGGAGACTTCATATATGTTTTGTTTTTAATTTTTAAAAATGTAAAAAGTTATATGAAAAAATAAATTTCCGTAAAAGAAAAAATTACTTTCAAAGAATCCATCACTTGTAAAAAAAATTGTTATTAAAGTTCCTAAAAAGAATACCATGTTGCAATGCTTTTTTTCCGTTTTCGGTGTGAAACGTTTGTCACGCAGCTGCAAAATTCACATATGACTTTCTCCAAATAGTGGTTCACCGCTCGGTGACGCTGTAGAAATAGAACGACGCGCAACGTCGAAAAAACGGCAGACAACATGTAATTATTTTATCCTTTCTGGCGTGTAATTTGGGGCGTGCACTACGCTCGTGAACTCGCTGACTCGATGCAGGGGGGAGACGTAGAAATGATGTGGCCGGAGTCCACGGCATGCCGTAGCCCAGAGGGGCGTGTGCCTCGGACAGGACCAAGTGGGGTGCAACTGACAGCGGAAGACAATTAGCCTTCTGATACATCCAATGTCGCGTGATATGTTCCGTGGCATGTAGGAACTTTACAAAGATTCGTTTCACGCATCGCAACGCGTGGGACAAAATACAAGAGGTAACGGAGTCTTAGTAACCGTTGATTCATAATCTGTTGTACAAAGTATAATAATACACAAAGTTATGCAATTAATAACTGATTCAAGTTATATTATATTATATCTACAATAATTTTAATATTTAAGAAAAATTTTTTAGTAAAGAGACTTTAATGTATCAGAATTTTCGAATGATATCACAAACAATTACAATTTTGAATGGGAAAAGATTGAGAACTGTTAAATGACGCCAATGGGGCATAGTAGCATGTTGTAACAGGTTTAACGTCGGGAGAGATCGAGAATACGATCTGCGACTTCGTCGTCTATGCCATAATCTCGTGCCTATTAGTGCGGCATTATTTTCCGTGGTAGACATCAAAGAGGATTTCCCGCGAGCTCATTGTATCGCGACGATAATTCCTCGTTATTAGCAGCCGCCGTCGTCGGGGCGTTGGTCTCATGTCGGCTTACCACACCCCAAGTGCCGAAACAAATCCTCCCGAATTGGTAGTGCCGATGCAAAGGAGGTTCTACGACGCATAACGCAATAGCTTCGACAAAGGATCAACCCGGGAGGTCGGGGAGATGGCGATTGTGGCGGCTAATCCCCGTGAAAAATGCGTTGCAGGTGGACGAATCCACCGTCGTCATCGCCACTCAGGTGAAGCCATGCTGGGGAAGAACCAAGTTTTTTTCG